TTTAAATAGGTATTCCTTCCTTCTGTGTTTGCTGAGCTCCTGTTGATTACCAAGTCTTGCTCTAACAGTTTTCACATCTGTACCTCATTAAGAAGAGATTATGTATATGTGTATATATGAACAGACATATATACGTAAATACATATTCAGAACTAAAAAAATGACTTGCAGTCATCTCAAGAAACATATATAAGGTAGATTATAGCCACATATGCACAGAGATGAGGGGTACACAGGGCTGATGAATAATAACACAATTTTGGGCTAGCAGAAACTATCATTTATCTTTATTTGAGAGTATACCATAAAAGGGATTTTTCAGATTACTTTTTTATTTTCGCTTTGGTTATGCTATCATTCATGAAACAGCTGTGCTCCTTTCTCTGAGAGCTGGCAAGAGTGTTTTCAGCAGCTTGTTTATGTGTGGCATTGATTGACGTTTGATCCCATTCTGTGTGATGGCTTGAGCAGTGAATTAATAGTTCATACAGATAGAGTCAGGTCTGAATGAGCTGGGGAAAAGCCACGCTGGGGTCAGGGAGAAGCTGTTACATCCGTGTGAAATTAACAGTGTTAGTGGCTTGGCGTTGGCGTACAGGTGAGACATGATTGGAGGGCTGCATTGTCCCTGGGGCATGAGTTGTCACAAGCTGAAAGAATAGATCCACTGCAACATCTGGGGGTCCTAGGACAGAATTGATCTTTCGAGCTGTGCAAGTTCACGGTAGTCTACAAAAGCTTCCTCTTGGCTGTGGAGGCAAGCTAGCCCGGGGACGAACAAGGAAGGGGCACCTGTCAGGTGACTAATCAGAAGACCCATTCGATGCTCCTCTGGTTGATTCGGTGTAAATGTTCAGTGATTTATCATGGAATGCAGGTTACAGTATGAAAATGCACGTAAACCTTAAAGACGCTTAAAGGGGATGCTTCCAAAGCACCTGAGCTTAGCTTCATGCTGTGTTCACTTGCAGAGTAATTTAGAATTCTTCTTTGCAGATTGAATGTCTGATAAATAGTGTCGAAACTTTTTTTTAAAAAGGAAAGAAAGAAAAGAGGCGAGTATAGAAACAATCTTATAAAGCAAAAGAAGTATCCCAAGCTGCGTGATAGGAAAGGCAGGCATAAGATTAGAAACGGCCCCGTGAAAGGCAGAGCCAGCCAGTACCTTTAGCAGAAGGGTGTGGTGCTGTAATGTAAGGGTGTGCTTAACCTGTTGGAAAGTCATCTAAAGTCATTGTAGTTTGTGATAATCATAAGGAAATGTCTAAAACTCTCGAGCTTTGGAAATGTCCTGTGTAATAAAAAATTATTTTTCCTTACATCTTAGTCTTAGAAAGTAGTTATCGGGCTGGAGAGATGGCTCAGCCGTTAAAGGCTAGGCTCACAACCAAAATTTAAGAAAGTAGTTATCTTCATGTTTCATTATTTAACCAGAAAAAAAAAATGTGTACAAAAGGAATATATTTGAAACTTTGGGGAGAAAAAGCCTTCAGATTCGCTACTTTCAACAAAGTATCTCTACTGTTGATTTTATTTTTAAATTATACATTTAAAAGAATTAGCACGTGTGTGACCCAGAAGAAAAAAAAAAAGACAAAATGGCTTTGCTTTGAGTCTCCTTTAAAAAAAGAAGGAATTACGTCATTTTTTTCTCTTGTGTGCATTTGTCCCACTGGGTACCATCGAAAATCTCTGTCCACCTTCATTCTTCATGTAGGGCCTCTCTAAGGCATCTTAGGAATTCTGGGACGGACGGTGGTTTTCAGGCAGTGGGTTGAGATTGAGTCTGAGGTAATGTGGGCCTCATCTGGTTTGTCTCTGTCTGGCCACCTCTACTTCTCTGTCCTTCTGCTTCTCTGTCCTTCAGCCCTCTTTCTTCCTTCCAGCTCAGCTCTGTCTCAATAACAGAGATCCAGCCACGTTCACCTCATTTCTCACCACAAAAGATACTAAACCAAAAACTTAGTCTCTGCCCCTTGATCTCCATTTGACAGATATGTTTTGTTTTGTTTGTTTTTTACTTTAAAAGTTAAGGCATTCCTAAAGTATATAGGCTGGTTTATTTCAATAGTCTCTCTTTCAATTCCAGGTCTCTCTGCAGCTGTCCTTTGTTTTTCATCAAAAACTTCAAAGTCAACACAGTAACATACAGGATCCAGACTACCTGTGTATTTCCCATCTTACATGGCTTTTTTCCTTTTATTCTCTCTTTAAAGACTTTATTTTATAAATCTGTGCCTATACCCTTTTCCTTTTCTTAAGCTATGCACATTGTTAAACACACTGTAACCTGTTTAGAGGTTTATCTGTCTGGACCTCTCTTATTGTGTATCTTCAGCCTTTTTTGACCATAGGAGCAATCCTTTCAACTGCTAACCTACACCCCTATTCTCCTGGTGGGGCTCTCAGCTGGCTCCTCCCACGTCTCAGGTCCTGAAAACCAAGCATGAAGCTCTGACCAGGAACTGCATCAACCTTCCTAGAGCTCTGGAATGCCAGTGCTTGCACGGTGGCAGGCATTTTTACTTGGTTTTTTGTTTCTACTTAATGTACTGGCTGCTCAAGAGCTCAGGGACCAGCAGAGACTGCCTAGCAGAAACTCTTGCAGGAGCTGCATCCCTTTTTGTGTTGTGGTTCAGCTTTCTCAGGTTCTAGATGGATATTCAAGCCCTAAGTTGCTACGCCAAAATGTTGTTTTTTATTTCTTCTTTTGTTCTATGTTAGTAGACCCACCACCCGGCTCCCAAATAAGTCACTCACGGAGGCTTATTATTACTTATGAATGCCTGACCTTAGCTTGGCTTAGTTTCTAGCCAGCTTTTCTTAAATTATCTACCTTTTGTCACTGGACTTTTCCCATTCTCTGTAAACTTTACTCTTACTCTGTGGCTTGCTCTGTAGCTGGGTGGCTGGCATCTGATGTCCCCCTCCTTCTCTGGCTCCCTCTTTTTTCACTCCTCCATCTCTTCTCTCTCCTCCCAGATTTCTCCTTCGATATAGTCTGCCTGCCAGCCCTGCCTATCCTTCCTCCTGCCTTGCTAGGGGCCGTTCAGTTCTTTATTAGATCTTCAGGTATTTTGCACAGGCACAGTAACACAGCTTCAGAGTTAAACAAAAGTAGCATACTCTAAAATAATATTCTACGACACCTCCTGTTTCAATTGGGTCTTGAGGGAGCAGGAAGGCAGCCATGCCATTTTAGAAAGCAGGAAGTGGGCCCTCGCCTGCTTGCCATCGGCTTCACTGAGAGGGGTCCATTTCTTCTTCCTATGACCCTTCTCTGGCTTATGAGTCTGTTCTAGTTGCCCGAATAGCCTAAGACACGCACCCCAGAGCAAGAGACGGGCTTAGGCCTTTGCGTAGGTGCTTTCTTCTCAATAGCTGGCTTGTCAAATACCAGGACTCTGAAGTGCCCCTTCCCAGAGTCCCCCACTGCTTCTCCCCAGCAGCTTTAGCTGCAGAGAACTGAGCTAAGAGAACATTAGTAATGAAAACAAATGTGTTTCGACATAACCGTGAGATGCGCAGTGCAGGCTTTGGGGCAAAGCAGACTTGGTTTGAACTTCAGGTCTGCAATTCTTTAGGTATTGGTTAAGTCACGTATCATTTGTTGATCCTGTCTCCTCGTCTACAATGGTGATGGTAATACTTCATTGCTCCTGGAGTTTTTGTGAAAATTAAATAATACCCCGTTTGGGGAACATTTGGAGATGTTCGAGGTACAACATTCACACGCTACAAAAGATCGCTGCTAAGAATCCATAATTTTGTGGGTTGTTGTTGTCTGTTTGATTTTGTTTTTTGAGTTTTATGGCACTTTTTCACTTTCTGCTTCGCTATTTCTGAAACTTGTCTAAGGGCTGGGAATTCAGCTGCCTCTGTAATGGAGTGCTCATTTTTACATGTTTGGCTCCGGATTTGTGGCCAGCAACACACACACACACACACACACACACACACACACACACATTTGATATCTAGTATAATAAGGAATGCAGTTCTTGACAAAAACCTATAAATATTTGAAATCGATTGATATTAATGGGGCCAGTAGTGGTGGTCTGCCACTAGAGAAGCTGAGGCAGCCGCGTGGTGAGTTGGAGGCTACCTTGAGTCCACATAATGAACTCCAGGCAAGAGTGGGCTTTGCAATAAGGCTCTGACTCAAAAATAAAAAATTAAAAGGGAAAGACAAAAATAGCTGTTTATGCCATTCACTGAGCAAGGAGTTGAAAAAGATTTATTTGTTACTACGGGTGTAAACAACAACAAATGTTTAGTAGCCGTGTGTCTGTTAGGAAAAGTATTAGGACAAGACTTATGGGGAAACCTAGAGACGTCCCCACCCTCAAAGGACTATTTGGTCTACTTGGGAAAACACCAGGAATGTCACAAAGGGAGCTTATTTCATTGCCAGTGAAATGGTTGCTGTAGATAAGGAAGGCTTTGAGTTCAGAAGGGGGCACAGTTGCCGCTGAAGCCCAGAGCTAAGATTTTTTGAACATGTGATGGTTAGCAACTATAATACTAAGAGAGAGGACAGGGGCATAGTTAAGAAAAGAGACCCAGCAGTGATGCACTACAGGACCCAGGACAGACAGGAGAGAGGCCCAGAAAGAAGTACCCGAGTGGCGTGTTGTGAAAGGCACTCTGAGGACAGCCTCAGGACTCCCATGTACCTTCAGTGGGAGGCTGGGACCAAGATGGGCTCCACCCTATGGCAAGTTAAACTGGACTTTAAGACCTGGCCCTGTAGACCATGGTACTTCGTTATTGGGATGGCATGAAACCGGGTGCATAGTCATAAAAGTCAACAGCCAACAGGAGGGTGTCTGTCGTAAGAGAAATGCATGGAAAGCCTCCCCTAACCAGAGAGAGACAGTCATCCTTCCTCCCACCGGTGAAGAAAATTTGGCTTTCGGCTGGACAGTGATAATGACAATGATTGGAACGTAACCTCAGGAAATGCCTGCTTTTAAGACCTGTCTTTCCTCTTTTAGGCCTCTTTTTCGAGGAAGTTCAGATGTGGATCAGCTGGGAAAAATCTTGGAGTAAGTAACAATTACAGTCTTCCGTCACATGAAGAGTTTGCAGTGACTTTCCTCTGATGTTCTTCTTTCTCTCTTCTCTCTCTTGCCTCAAGCTGCTGCTGCAGACAGTCTTACTAGTTGGTGTGGTGAGTGGGGACAGGGTAGGAGAGAGCCCCTCACAGGGCTGGTCATCCGCGTAGCCGCCGCGCTGCTCTGCTCTGTGAGCTTGTGTGCTTCCTGGGCCGGTCGTTGCTGCTTCTCCATGCTTGGCTGAGCTCTGAGCGCAAGCTCCATCGTGCAGATGTGTTGTCCGCTTGTGGTCACATCCAATTTGCCTCCCCTAAGAGACGGGACCCTTGATGGCTTAGGATTCCCAGCCTGTCCAGGGAGGCATCCTGTTCTCATTGAGAGTCCTTGACCATTCTTGTTGGTTTTTCATTGCATTCCCAAGCCAAGGACAAAAAATGCTCCTCTGTCACATTTTCTCTCAGAACACCAAAATAGGGAACGAGAGACCTAGGTTCTCATCTTAGACTGTGGCCGAGTAACTGTGTGAGTGAGAAGTCGTCACACGAAGCCCCCTACGGCCGGTGAGTTTACCGCACTATGCCCAGCTCAGGATTGCTACCTTCACCCTTTTTTCTTTAACTTGTGCACCCGAGGAATGGAACTGACTTGAGCTTCTCCGTGCCGCCTGTTCTCCAGCTCACTCGTTGCTTCCAGCCATTCGTTCCATTGCTCTGTGGTGATTTGCAAACTTCATTCGTACCTACATGTTTGTGCACGTGAGGAGGTGCATGCTTTCATGTTGCTAGAATGTAGCTGGGGCCTTTCTTCTCACAAGGCGTGCTGCCTGGCATCCTATTTGGAAATGTACTTTTGCCGAGCCCCACCCCAAGTTAGATAGGTTGGAAAGAGCTTCGGGGTCCTGGCTAAAAATCACCATCATCATTGGTTGGTGACATTTTTAGGAATCTCAAGTGACTTTCATGGAATTTTGAATCTATAAGACTTCCTCCTCCCCCTCCCCCTCAAAAAAAAATACAATGCCCCTACAGAATTATCTGTTTAAGCGTGATTGCTTCAAACCTGGAATTCACCCCAAAGCTGATAACTCGGTTCTTTGGTGAATTAGAAGCTGTTCCCAATGCTTTGAAGCTGAAAGAACATTTGTTGGCTTTGATTTGTGTGTTGCGAGGTAGTTTACTTTGTTATTGTTGTTTTGGTTTGGTCTGGTCCGGTCTGGTCTGGTCTTGTCTGGGGACTTCCCAGGTCCTGAGCACCCACCAGCACTGCATCTCCTGACAATCCTGTAAAATGGACGCATGCTCTGCCAAGTCCTTTTGTTCGCTGCCCTGCCTTTGCATGACAAGCTCCTGTTGCTCACTGCCGGACTCGTATTCTCCCTGGGATTGTGCAGTGTGTTCTGTGTGCATGTGATCTTCGAGAGGGACCCAGGAAAGTAGGCATGCCAGTTTTCCCTTATGGAAAGGAAAGGCTGTCTTGGTGGCATCTGCCTGCTGGGCCCTGGGGGTCGTCACCTGCTCCCCGTCCCTTGCCTACTCCTCCTGGGATTCCTGGCCACCCCCAGCGTGGTCTGCAGACCTGTAACACTGCATGTACTCTTCGACCACGGAGCCAGTGCAGTAGGCCAAAAGGGACATTTGGCTTGTCCCGTGGGAAAGCCTCCTCGACTTTTGGCCAAGGCCTGGCACTCCCACGTGGCTAGCAGAAAAGCAGCCGCAAAGCCTTGTATGTTTTGTGCCTTTAGATTACACTTCTTGGTTCCTGGCTTGGCTTCATCGGTCTGAATGGTCCTCTCCACAGAAAAGGGACAATGCTGCACCCTAGTGTCACTGATAAACTGCTCGAGGAATTACCTCTGCCCCATCCAGCACAGCCATTGATAGAGTCTGCACCCTGACAGGCTTCCCAGTGTAAATGTCAGCGATCACAGCTTCTGTTCAGCTGTCCAAACTGTGAAATATGATGCAGGCCTTTTCTAATGAACTTGTCACAATCTCATTATGCTCATTATGGGCCATGGCAGTCTTGATTGGACAGGAAGTTGATCTTTTCCCCCTAAGGAAAGTCCTGTATTCTCACACTCTTAATAAGGTAAGCTGTAGACAGATTCTGTTTTCAGAGACTGTCGAGTGCTTCAGAAGTGAGACATGGTGTGAGGCCACACATTAGCATTTTCTAAGAGCGGTAGCATCATTAAATAGAAGTAAAATACGAGATACGGAGTAGGGAGACCTGAGTGTGTGACTGCAGCAGGCATTCTCACCCTCGATCTGTCTTCTCGTCACTGAGGTGATACACCTGACCCAAGTGTCTCACGGGTTTATACAGTAGGGTGGGCTTTAAGTTTTATTTTTACATATGTATGTATGTAGGCATATATATCCACGCCTATATGTAGTTAATGTGTGTTTACTTATACAGATAGACATAGTGTTTCTCTGAAAGTGTTTGGCTCTGACTGCTGTATTCATAAGATTTCAAATCTACAGGTATGTTCAAAGCTGCTAATAATACTCAGGAGGCTTAAGACAGGAAGATTGTGAGTTTGAAGCCAGCCTGGACTGCACAGTAAAATATTACCTTTTCAAAAAATGGTGCCAATAAAGTAATTTAAATTCTAAGCATCGTTATAATCCATTTCCAGGTAGCTGATGATAATGTACAAAAGTCTTGATATAAAAGGGACAGAAGTTTCAAACTGTCTGTAACAAGTATTCTTTTCCTCCACCGCCATAGCCCATTCTATTCAAACACATCCCTGTGTTTCCTTTTGTAGTTATAACAATGTTTTTACCCTTTTGTTACTCACATTATAACCCTTGCTATTGAACACACTTGTATGCTGCACAAGTCATGATTTCGCTCATTGATCCCAGTATGTCCATGAGTCTGCCTTTATGTGGCTCTCTGCCAATGCCTGTAGGGGACAGTGTTAGTGTCTTGCCTCCATATCTGGTGGCATCTGCATGGATGGCAGGGAATCTGCTCTTCCCAGGGAGGTCTGTGATGTGGGAAGGGAACAGTGACAACGTCCTGTAGATCCTGTGACGTTTACCATCTGTCTTCTTGAAAGATGTCTATGGCCACACCTTCTGGTCCTATGCTGCAGAAAGTACAGAAGAGGACTTAATGCAAATAGTTTGGATCAGTATCTGCAACTGTATACCCTGTCTACTAAACCATGTTTTTGTTTTTCAGTTCAGAGTTAACTCAGAGTCTATGTACTGTCCAAATACACTTACCATAAACTACAAATAATAAATTTATGTATAACCTATACATAAACTAGAAATGATACTGCGTATGTATAAATTATGTGGAGCCACCAGCCTACCAATAATAAGTAACAAATGGATGTCGGCTGCACGTACTGTGTGCCAGGCACTGTAGTATGCAGCTTCAGTAAATTACCACCATCCCTCATACAACCATAAATTACACTGTCACATACGTAAAGACCCCAGAGCTCATGGCTGTCCTGTAATTTGTCCTCACTTGTCAGTTAAGGGCAGGTGCTGAATTTGAAGCCACATCTGCCTATTCCCAAAGCTCTTTTTATGGCTTGCTGTTCCCTCCACATTTCTGATCCCGGAATGGTTGTCAGGGGAAACCTAAATGACACCCCTTTAATTGACTCTTTCTCACTCCGGAATACCACTAAATAGTGCTTGCATAAGATGGGACCGACATACTTTTTAACCTTATTTTTGAGTCTAATTTACATAACTGTTTAGAAAATTACTCTTTAATTTAAAAACTTGGCCAAAGTAACGTGTTAATAAGCCATGCTGGGCAGGCATTGTGAAAGCCCGTCTTCACAAAGCTGTTGTATCAACACAGAGCAGAGCGTCATCGGGCGTAGAGGAGGACCCTGTATATCCAAGTGTCTGTCTTCAGAATAGCAGGCCCTGCCTCGTCACTACACCAGGACTGGCCCCTGGCTACACAGGTCCCATCCACACACCTCCCATTAGTGTCTGCTGCCAGGGACGCTGCTTATTCCTGCCAGAGAGCTTCACAGTGCCTGAGATTGTGCCATGTGCCTGCCCTGTACAGGGCAGGCGGCTCAGTGAGAACCCTTTCCACCATGAGGTGAGGTTCTCCCAGAGCTCCTGACCCCCCACGCCCTGTGGTGTTTGCCTGCTCTAGGATTTGGTGAGGAAGCCCTTCGCTTAACTGCCAATGTTCACATTCACTTCTGTTCATCTGTAGTGTGATTGGACTCCCAGGAGAAGATGACTGGCCCAGGGATGTTGCCCTTCCCAGGCAGGCTTTTCATTCCAAATCTGCCCAGCCCATTGAGAAGTTTGTGACAGATATTGATGAAGTAGGCAAAGACCTGCTTCTGGTAAGTTCCGGGATGTGGTTGGCCTGTGCCTGTTTAGACAAATAGCATCGTGTGCCACAACCGCACGGTATGAGAGGCTGTAGTCCTCCTGTGGATTTTTGTTTCCAACTGGTGGCTTTTGGTTCTGGAATGTCTTTTCTCCTCCAACTCTTTTTTTTTTTTTTTTTTTTTGGTTTTTTCGAGACAGGGTTTCTCTGTGTAGCTTTGCGCCTTTCCTGGAACTCACTTGGTAGACCAGGCTGGCCTCGAACTCACGGAGATCCGCCTGCCTCTGCCTCCCGAGTGCTGGGATTAAAGGTGTGCGCCACCACTGCCCGGCTCTCCTCCAACTCTTAACACAAAGTTTTGAATGAGTATTTGGATGCAGCGTTAGAAGACTCTGGATTCCTTGGGCACAGGCTTCTTGACAAGTAAACATGTTGACTTGTTTAAAGTTCCGTGAGACTTGAAGTGACTTGAGACTCACATCTATGCAGATGTTTTCCCCCAAAAGAACCAAGTAACAGTACTTCTAGTTATTGATGTATTTAATAAGCATTTAGTGTGCCATGCACATATAAAAAAATCCCACTGAAAATCAGATTCTGGGGCTGGAGAGATGTCTCGGTTCTTAAGAATATACACAGCTTTTGCAGAGGACTCAGGTTCAGTTCCCAGCACCCATGGCAGCTTGTAACTCCCAACTCCAGCATCGCTCTCTTTTGGCCTCCACAGGTACCTGCACCCATGTGCACATTCCCACACACAGACACAAATGCACACATGCTTCAAATGTGGGACTTTTTTAAAAAACACAATAAGTGCTTTTGTACGCTCAAACTCCTAATTATTGATGTTGTGTATACTGTGCTGCCCCTGGGAACTCGGAAGGCCCTTCCTTCTGGACTGTCCTTGTCGTCAGAGCCCTGTGAGTTAGAAGTCTGCTGTTAGCCTCCCGAGTGAAGAGCCCTTATTACCTGATTCAGACTGTGGGTCAAAACCTGCTCTTCTCTGTGTTACCCTGAAGGTCTAGGTCAGTTCATGGTCGAGGGTAACTTCAGTGACGGTAAGGATGTTCCTCCCAGCCTACCAACCCTTGAAAAAGGTGTGATTCTGTAAGGTGATTTTTAAGTCAGTTATTTGGCAATAAAATTAATTTTTTTTTAACAGAAGCAGTATTTATTGTTTGGGGTGCTTAGTTCATTCTCATACTGGTGACTTTCTCCCTAAAGCAGAACAGTTAGAGGTTTAGAGGCCACCTTTTCCAAGGCTTGCCCCGAGGTCCAATGTACAAGCACATTATTCACCTGGATATGTTTCTGATAAAATGTTTTCTTTATTGCAGAAATGCTTGACATTTAATCCAGCTAAAAGAATATCCGCCTATGGCGCCCTGAATCACCCATACTTCCAAGACCTGGAGAGGTACAAGGACAGCCTGCATACCCACCTGTCATCCACCCAGGGCACCTCGGAGCTGAACACAGCCTGAGGTTCCCCAGGGATGCCATGAGCTGGTCATCGAAGCGTGCTGGCAGCTGACGAGTGCCCTCAGCAAGCCTTGCGGAGCAGTTCAAGAGTGCTGGCTCTGGGCCTTCCAGCTGCCGGCTTCTGGATGGGTTCTGCTCCACCAAGGACACCACCTAGTTTACTGTTCAGAAATCAATGCAAGAGTAATTGCAGCTTTATGTTCGTTCACTTGTTTGTCTGTCTGTCTGTTTCAAGAGCCTGGAAAACTTCCAGAAGAAGAGAAGCTGCTGACCAATTGTGCTGCCGTTTCATTTTCTAGCCTTGAATGCTGCCAGTGTGGGATGGGTAATCCAGGCCCAGCTGAGTTATGATGTCATCTCTCGGCAGCTGCTGGGCCTGCTTTGGTACTTGTGAGTGTGTGTGAGAGAGAGATCCCTGATCTCGTCAAGTGTTACTTTTTGTAGACAACAAGAATAATAGAATTTTAAGGACTAAAGTGACTGATAGTAACAAGGGCTGTTCAATGAAGGTGACTCGGCAGTGTAGTCCTCTCAGTTAGAAAGGTGAGCCTACGTCCTCAGCGTTTCCTTTCTGTCCAAAAGCTTTTGCTAGCAGTAAACGATAAAGTTTTAGACACCACAAAAACGAGAGAGAAAAAGGGAGGAAAAACCCTAGTATCTTTTAAGAGACTTTTTCTAAGCATGCATTCTTCTATTTGCTCTTTGGAAAGCTGGATTTACTTGTCCTAAGTCATATATATAGTACAGTACTCAATTGTTTCTTTTGGGAAAGGCCTTATAAGCATTTCATTACTTGCAATAGGTTTAGGGAGTGTACCTCAAATACATTTTAAAGATAGAGATGGCCTGTATTTTCTGGTTTGAAATGTTGTTATTTCCTTTGCGTTTCTTGGTATTTTGTTCTTTGTTAGGGGATTGCTTCCTTCTCTGATTTGGAGATGGTTCTGACTAGAGACAGGACTGTCTTTTAGCTCTCCACACCTGCTACCCCACACTTGCACCGTGCACTTGCCATGGTCTGCCTGAGGTGTCTAGTGCCCACCTTCTCTGGTGCCAGCACGTCTGATATGTGTTGCCTAACGAGGCCAGATTACCCAGCTGCCCCCACACCACGCCTGCCTGCTCACTGTCTCTCACTGATGCTTTGCCAGTGACCTTGGTTATGGCTTACGGCTCCAGTTCTGCAATCGGAACAGGGTCCTCCTCCTTTTCTTAGAGTAGTCTTCCCGCCTGCTGTCATGAGGTCACTTGGGCAGTGTAGAGTACTGTTCTGTGTGTCACCAGTGTAGAGGTTGCTGTCAGCCAGTGGGCACTGGGTGTTTTACATTTCTAGAGAGTCCACTGAGGGGAGGAGGGTGGCTTTTCCGCCGTTTTAGAGGTAGCTGTTTACTTTCTAAGGTGATCTCTCTCTCCCTCCATCCGCAGGATGTCCTCTTCTCTGGCGCCTTGTGCTCAGCTCTGTTGTCTGCAGAGCCGGCCTGGCCTGGGCATCAGACACAGCTGTGCCTTGCTATTCCCTCTCAGTCCCTTCTACTCCGTGCCACCTTCGCCTTGTGCTCGAGTTTCATGCACTGGTGATCAGAAGGCGCAGACAGCAGCTTTGGGGGGTGTAGCTGTGTGGTCAGTCATGGTTCAGGTGCACGTGTATAGAAACTAGATCGTGTTTCAGCGTGGAACAGCGTAGAAAGAATGGCTGATGTTTCACACAGTAGGACAGGTCTCAGATGGTGTTTATATATTCTGAAGCCTTACTGAATTCTTTGTAGCTGAATAATACATGTTATTATCTTGAATAGAGAATAATTAGATGCCCTTCCTGAGAGCGTTGGGGGTTGGGAGTCATTCTTTTTTTTTTTTTTTTTTTCCTTTTTTTTTTTTTTTTAGTACATTTATTACATTCTTCTGATTCAGTATCTTGAGAAACAGAATTTTTTTTTTCAAAAGCAAGATTTAAAAAAAAAAAAAGCTAGGCTGGGAGCATGTTCTGTGCCTCATCACTACAGCACTGGGGCCTGTTATCAGTGTATCAAAGCTTGAGCTAGGCTCAGAGCAGCAGACAAGGCCTGTCCTAGGTCTCACTGGGACAGTGAGTTCTGCCTTGCCTTTGAACAGGTTCAAAAGGCAGGTTTTTGCTGGGGCCTAGAAATCGAACATAAAACTCATTTGCCATGGCCTACTCCATTTTGGATTAGTATCCATGTGATAAAGTGAAAATAATTTTGAGAGCTTTTGGAAGAAAAAAAGACACACCCCCACCCCTCACCCCTCACCCATTAGCTTTGTTCAAGGAAAATACAGCTGTCTTAAACTGGAATCTATCTACTCTTCAGAATTTTTAACGAATAGAGTTCAGCTTCATTATTGTCATCCTTTTTGGGCTTATTTCTTAGTAGGTGTTTTGATTGTTCATTCTGGGTTTGGGGGGACATTGTTTTGGGGGGGTATTTTTTGTTCGTTTGTTTTTTGGTTTTGAGACAGGGTTTCTCTGTGTAGCTCCAGCTGTCCTGGGGACCAGGCTGCCCTCGAACTCACAAAGATCCACCTGCTTATGTCTCACGAGTGCTGGGACTAAGGCGTGCACCACCACTGCCCTGCTTTAAGAACTATTTTTAAATCACAAACATTTTAATATTAGAAACTTGTCATATTGTGCCAGGATGGTGCAGAAGGGGCATCCCACCTCTCTGGATTTCGCATCTCTGCCCCAGATCTTTGTTCATACAGCTGTTCTCTGGATATACGTCTCCCTGAGGCTCACACTTCTGAAACCCAGTCTCCATACAAGGAACCTTGCCATCCTGGCCCTTAGTAGCACATGGGAACATAAAGTAGAGTGAAGGCTGGGTGAATAGGGTTCCCCCTCTGTGGCGGATGGTGTCACGCACCCTTGTCCCTGAGAAGACCCTACTGCCCCAGCCTTCTGCTGAAACAGCTCTCAGTGAGGAGAAACAAGTTTGACATTGCAGGAGGAACAGTGCAGGAACATGCCCAATCGCCTCTCTTCGGGGTTTGGTTCCAGAGGCCGTGGCATTGCGGGACCCAGGGAGTTCTGTCAGCCTCTTCAGAAGCAAAAGGGGCGTTTTCCAAGCAGTCCCCATAAGCTCACACGCTGTCTTGTGGCGAGGAGTCCCAGCCGCCCACCCCATGTAGCAGCACAGTCCGTGAGCACCCAGTGGGCCGCAGCCTCCCACGCTGTCCCTCTTGGAAAGACGGGCGCTTGAGCAGCAGAGGAACTGTTTCATTAGCTTGGGACCATTTCTGCCCCCAGCTTCTCACGATTTTCCCTCAGAACCCACTCACTGAGTAGTAGATTTGAATTTAGCCTTAAGTGATTGACTTAAAACAGCTCAGAAGTCGCCACTTAAAACCTGTACCTCCACGTGATCATTTTTAATGAAAAATGAAAATGCTAGCATAACACAGCACTTCGCCTTAAATAGAAAGGGGTGCAGTTGCCTCTGGAATAGGATGCTAGCCAGCTTATTTGAGAAAGTCAAAAGGAGCAAACATTTTGAACTTTATGTCCTGAAATTGTTTTTTAAGTAACCGTAGCTGCTTCTCTGAAAAGCTGTGCCTACTAAGGTCAGTTATAGCCATTCTCGTTGTGGGCGTTAAATCATGTACACTTTCTAGAGAGAACCACACGCACATGCGCGCACACACACCAGGGTCTCTCTGTGTAGCCACGGCTGTCCTGGAACTCACTTTATAGATCAGACTGGCCTCGAACTCAAGTCGAGCTGCCTGCCCCTGCCTCCCGATTGCTGGGAGGAAAGGCGTGCACCACCACTGCCCCGGTCTGACTGTGTTTTAGGAGCACCTAGTGACTCACATCTCCTGAAAGCACATTTTTGTCGCACAGCTGGGTTCAGGAAAGAAGAGCATTCAATCCCGTGCCACCGTTCCTGCTCCCTGTCAGCCCCTGTTGATAGCCTGCACGAGAGAGAATGCATGCTTTACATCGCGACATGAGATAACGATGCTGTGTAATTTCAGAACCCCTAAAGATGACAAAGTAATGGGGAACAAACAACAGTATTCAAAGGGTATTTTCAGATTTACATACATTTTTGAATAATACACTTTTGCCTTTAAGTGTATTCCAGGAAACATTTTTGAAGTCATCCAGCACTTGTGGACTTGGTGTGTCAAAAAAAACACAAATTTTGTGGAGACACACAGAATCACTGGTATCATTTTTCTTCATTTCATAGGAAAAAAGCAGCCATCTGAAGCTATACTCACTATACATACATGCCTAAGAATATTCACTATAAAAAATGAAAATTAAGTGGCATTTACCTCCTAGGCAGCTGAAAACGGACAACCTATAAACCTTATCCAAAAATCCTTCATCATGTGCATCCTTAAGTCTAAGTCCATAGTTAGGGAGGTGTTCATACATTCATTCTCCACAATGGAAGAGCCTTATGCTACCAAAGCCTGATGCAAAGTGTGATTCCTGGAATGATTCGTAACAGTGGGGCCGCACATGCACGAGAAACACAGCACTTCCTCTCCTCCCAGCTTCCCAGGCTGGCCTGGTGCCTGCAGCCTCCTGCCTCTTCCAGGCTCCAGGATTGCACATCTCAAGCATATCTAATTTCCGTTGGCTTTTAGTTTTGTTGTTTTTTAAGGAAATAAGTGAAAACTATTCTTTTGCCCTACTGTCTTCTGAAAGAGATCCTTTTTTTTTTTCCCCCAAGACAAGATTTCTTTGTGTAGCTCTAGCTATCCTGGAACTTGCTCTGTAGACCAGGCTGGCCTTGAACTCACAGAGATCCGCCTGCCTCTGCCTCCCGAGTGCTGTGATTAAAGGCATGCGCCACCACTGTCCAGGTTCAATTTTTAACTGTTTTTCTCAGTTTGGTTTTTTTTAATTTTTCTAATGAAGTACCGAATTGCCTTTTTTGGACGTCTCTTCCAGGGTTTTCAGCAAGTTAAATCTAACTGACTGCTAGGATATCCGTGCCTCTGTGGTCTGGTTCTCTGGCGCCCAAGAAAATAGCCACCTGAGAATAAATTCTCCTCAGGTTTTTCCTCAAAAGTCTACAGAAAATACTATTACAGTAATTCCAAATTAAAATGGTGAGAATGGAAGGTAATTGGGAATTGGTTTGGTTTTGTCCGGGCAGAAGTTGGGGGGGGGGGGGCGGAGGTTGTTGCTATATCCAGTATGTTCCACAAGGTGGCACTCTCAGAGAAAAATCTGACCGAGGCTAAAGAGGTGCTCTCAAGATATTACCCCAAACTGTTTCCCACGCATCTTTAACGGTCATCTAACACGTTTCTTCAGGTTATTAACAGTCTTCACAATATTGTGCAGCTTGTACATTTTGCTTTGCAGCTAGGTTCTGAGTGACTAAGTTATGCTTGAGAATGGCGCTTCAGAGGTGAAGGAATGCCTTTACAGTTACTGAGGGGACATTTCTGAGGCACCCAAAGTTACCTGCAGTTCTAGGACACCCAACTACTTCCACTTCCCTGAAGTCAACCCTCCTCTGTGAAGAGGGGCCCCAGGCAGGACTCCCACCTCCCTTGTCTGCTGCTTTCCGCCCTCTGTGGCCCTGTGACAGTGATTCATTTCTAAATTCAAGTGAACAAGAGAAGTAGCGTGTCAGTAATTTGAGTATAGCAAACCCTTTCTAAAGGCTGCAGTGCTAAAACCGACTGTCAATAACCAAGGAACTGGCAGGTTTTTGACCCGTGTAAACCACAAGTGAAAACATTTCAATTCTAATTCTTAAATTTTGGGTTTGTATATATGAACATAACAACTCAGGAAGGAATCTACGTAAGGCTTTGGGTTTTCCACTGTCAGAATCGGGTTTATGCTGCCTTGTGAATTCACATTTCTGCTCAGAGACCTATCTATCCCCCGGAGCCAGTGATGACAGTGCAGAGGGGATCAACAGACACGGTATTTCAGCTTCCGGCACACCACGGCAGAAAGCAGTTTGTCCCTTCTGAGTGTCACTGTCGCGCGCGCGCGCGCGCGCGCACACACACACACACACACACACACACACACACACACACACACACACGCCCCTGCTTGACTTCACTCCAGAGTGGCAGGCAGGCGGGCGAGCCTCAGTTATTTACACTGAATCAGAATACAGACCAGGCCCTGCCGAGGCCCTGAGAATATCCGGCTCTTTTCATCCCTCTGCTCTCACTGAGGCAGATTCCAGGTTAGGTCTCTCAGTGAAAGTCCAAGTTCCCCCAGGTCTGCTCTCTGCAATCGTTCTGAAGCCCACCAGGCAGAATCATGGGCCAGGGCAGCCGGGCCAGGGCGGCCGGGCCAGGCCCAGAGGTGGTTGTGGGAGAGCCAATGCCGTGTTGCCGCTCAGAACCTCTGTGATGCCCTCTTAGGAGCACGTGGCTGCCTCTGAGCATCAGTTTACTTGCTAGCTCGGGTGCAGAGACACGCTGGATGCTGCCTGCACCTCCGTTACCAGACGTCTCACACTCAAAGTTTGTGGGGTTTGTTTTGGTTTGGTTTTGGTTTGTTTTAGATGTATAATTACAGAAGAAATTTTTATTTTTCCTGCTACATACATGGTGGCAAAAAGTTACTCCTGGAAATGTTTCATTTTGAACAACTGTTTGCTACTTCATTTTGGCACAAGCATGTAATTTTTTAGTTTCCAATTTCTCTCTTTTCTTCTTTAATGAGCAAATTATCCCTTGAACAGAAAGGTTTTCCTGTTCACAAGAAGCTTTTGTGTGAATTGTTGGGTCACACAAATAATCAGCACCTTGAGACTGTCAAATGTAGGGGATTTTGTTCGTTTGTTTTTGTTTTGTTTTGTTTTCAGGAGACACATAGGCACACATTGGCTGCCAGGACTTATGTCTGGCCCTAATTGAGCACAAAGCCACAGAGTTCTGTACGTCCTAACTCAGGCAGGGGTTCACCACCTTCTGTTGATGAGCTGAGGCTGAGGGGCCCTCTCCCCCCACTTGATGTTTTCTTATCTTCCGGTCTATAAAATGCAGTAATATGTATTAGCCAGCAATATTTCTGTGGCCACCAACATCTCTGAGTTTGACCTTAAGTCTCTCTCTCTCTGAGTGATTAAAATAGATTCCATCATTTCTTGGCATTCCCCCACATCATGTATCTTTTCACTCTGGTCCTGTTTCTAACAGTGTATTCATGTATATTTCAGTTCTTACTTATCTTCATTATTTTCCTATGAACAGTAATAGATGTATTAGTACATGGAATTAATAGTGTACTAGGAACAGCACTTAGCAGATGGGGAATTTTTTATCAAGTTCCACATTACATAAATTATTTCTATTATTATTCATGTATATTATTTATTGCTAAACCGCACCAGTCCTGTGGAAGTGCGACAAAAGGCAGATGTTAGGGCTTGAATTCAATGCTCATTATCATGGTCTTGATGGAGCTAAGGAAACAAAATTACAGTGATACCCCAAATAAGCTGCATGTGTGTAACATGATTAAGATTTCAGTTGGTTAGGTGTAGTACTTTTGGTGTCTAGGTGTCTTGTTGTGTTAAAAGACGAAGGCACGGACTTGTAGCTGTTGCTTCTGGCAGATGGATATTTAGTGTAGTGTAAGAATAATTACAGCAAATACTAAGGTAGAGAAGCGGGTAGAGATTGCCTTAATTTAGGTGTCCAGCAAAGTGGATGCCAGGCAGAGCAGGCATCTGGGTGCTGCTTCCTGACTGGGTCTGTGAACAAAAACTTCTCAAAGCAATCTGGTGCCCTTGTAGGTGCCCGGTGCAGCGGTGGGAACAGGTGGTTCTGTGGAGAAGGGAACGGGGGGGGGGGGGGTCCTGTAGAAACGGAACTGCCAGTTTATGCCTTGAGGCTTTCAGAACGTGTTTTCAGATTTCAGGCAACTTTGCTGTGGGATCGCATGTTATTTGAGATCTTAACAGCCAGAAATCCCTAACAACTCAAAAGCCTGCTGTGTTTCTGCTGTTTCTGGTCTGAGCTGAAGGTTAATGGGCAAGTGTTTGGTGTAGGTGAGCGGTGTGTGTCAGGGCTCAGTGCCACGTCCCCGCGTGAGTGCCTGTTAGCTGTAGGGACTGTTGCAGGGTTGTCCTTTCTAGATACGTAGAAGTGTGTTTTCACTATAAGGTGTGTTTTGTTTCTGGATTCCTATACAGATGAGTTAAAACTTGCTTCTAGGCCTTAGCGAAGCTGTTGTACACGGTAAGCTGCTTCTTGTGTGACTTATTCTTAGAATAGAAATGTGTAAAGGTAAAAAGAGCTTCATTTGGACATTGGACTCGTAGTTTTCTGGACTGAAGTCACAGTCCTAGAATTGTAGAGGTCTCACATATTAGATGCTAATCTAGGCTGTATAAGCCAGCCCCAGAAGTCCAGTGTCCCCCACACTGTACACCCCAGCCCTGCATCTCTCCCTCCCTTCCCAAGGTGCTCCTGCTACTACCCTGACCTGCTCCTTTGGCGCTCTCCACCTCCTTGGCCGAGTTTTGGGCATCAAGTATGTGATGAGAAATACTTTTCAGCACCAAGTGTGCTTGCCTAGGCCTGGCCACCACCCCCACTTTGCCTTTGGCTGGCCATAGTCATCAAGAGATAATACCCGATGCCAGGCCCAGAATGTACTCATGCTGTCAGCCTTACATGCCCCCAGCATGTTTGTGCATCCTGATCTTTAAACCCAGTCATCATTCAGTGTTCATTGTTGCCTGTGCTCCCAGGAGAAGAACATTCCAGGCTGCTGCTGTATGCTGTCCATCTGCAGGCTCTGCTTTCACTGTGTTTCTTCATACTTGAAACTCATTCTGCTGTTTGGATTTCACGGTGCAGACATCAGGGTGCACATTCCCTCAAGGTGCATAATTGCTCTTGTTCCGTTTGCTCATATCGCTACAGAACGCTCTGTTTTGGTGCTCTGGGTTCAACAGGTCAAAGAAGCGGTGTGGGAGCCTAGAACACAGTCTTAGAAGCACAGGGCAGGAGTCCTGGAGATGGCGTTGCTTCGGCTCTTCTCTGTGCCCACTAGGTGGGGTTACCAGGCCGGCCTGCCAGGTTCACCCAGGGACCTTTCTTTGAAGGGTCTGTGAACCAACCGTGTGCTGTATACTCAAGGGTGGGTGTGGCTCATCCTTTGTGGCAGCCCTACCTATCCAGGTAACTAGTCCTCAGAAAAATGACCCTGGGGAACACATAGCAAAGGAATGGACGGGCCAGTAGACCTGTGTCACTCTAGTGACACACACCCCCACTCCACACAGGAAGCCTCCTGAGGAAAAGCATAAAAGGATATCTCTAAGGCTGCCCTTCACAGCCCGAGCTGAAGGCTGTTGCTCCCTTCTTTGAAGCAGATGAAAATACTGGTCAGTTTACCTGAGCCCTTTCCACTGAGAAGAATGGGGAAGCAGAGGTGTGTGGTGTCATCCAAAGACCACAGCTTCTACCAAATCTCCCATCACTAGAAGTCCATTTTTAAAAGCAGCTTGGGGAAGGGGTGACTCCAGGCTTCCTGAGGGCATCTTAACCTGGGACTTCCCTGGAGAGGGGGGGCTACAGTATTCATTCTATGTCTGTGTTGGTAGGAGAGGAAATGGGCAGGAACTGAGGAGGGTTACAGATCAATACTCCTTCGGAAACTGGATTTCTACTGGGTGCTAGACTGCAAATTTAGGTATTTATTGTCAGGTAATTGAATTCATTGCTTTTCAAAACCATTGTTCAAAGGTCACTGTCCATTGGATTCACTTGTGTGCCAGCTGAATTGGTTGAAGCAAAACCAGAAAATGGTTTCTACGTTTGTCATACCTTTTGTATTTCTTACAATAAAAATGTTGTTAGCAATTAAAAACAGCCGTTTCAGACTCCTTCTTGAGAGATGGATTGCCCTCCCCCCTGTTTGCCTTTTTACTGAAATGAATTTATTTTCAGTGATATTATTACGTCATAGACATGTTAGCACAATGTTTTAAAGAGATTCCTTATCAATAATGTGTTTTAAATAGGAGCAGCTCACCGCGCTTACAACTCATTCAACAAATACCGAGTAGGCGACTACTTGAAGTGCTTCTTAGATAGAAAGAAATAAATAAGATGGCAGCAGTGCTTAAGAACTTGCAATTGGGAGTAGGGACTGTGAGAAAAGGTTTGTGTCACCAAACTGATCCTGTCTGTAGAGATGTGCAAGGGCTTCATAGAAATAAGGCTTGATACGCTGAGGGGAGGACTCGGGATGAGAGCACTTGCTGGGCGGGCAGGAGGCACCAGATTCAAATGCCCAGCCCCCATGTAGAAAAGCTGAGTGTGGCTGCTTGTGCCTGCGACCCCAGCGCTGGACGGCAGAGACAGGCGGAGCCTGAGAATTCCGTGGGACCCCTGCCTGAATTTACCAGGTGAGCTCAGGTTCAGTAAGAGAGGCTGCCTTGAAAGAACAAGCAGAGAGGAAGAAGTCCCATTGCCCTCCTCTGGCTTACACATGCGCACATGGATACACACCTGCACACCCATGTGCGTGAAACACACACACACACACACACACACACACACACACACACACAAATTAAGAAGTAAAGTTCACTGAGGGATGGGGTTCAATCAGTAAAGTGCCTGAAATGGAAGTATGAGGACTGAGTTTGGATCTCCAGCACCCACATAAAATCCAGGTGATGTCACCCAGTCTTGTAATTGTACTGCGGGGAGGACAAAGACAGCCACTGACCTAGAATTCAAAGACTAGCCCATCTGGTCAGTCGCTGAGCCAGGTGCGGTGAGAGACACTGGAGGAGATACAGTGGAAGACGTGGATGCTGACTTCCGCTCCCATATGCACATACGCTCAAGCAAAGAATTCTTGCAGAAATAGGCTGGTGAACGCTCGAAGAGCTATAGTTGCCAGTCACAGGGGAGGCGTACTCTGAATGTTTACAGGCCCCCAATGAAGGGGAAGGCAGAAGATGGCGGGAAGACCTGTGGCACAGCCTGGGGTTAGCATTACTATAGAAAAGCACAACCTGGTACGTGCGTGCCACACATGTAGCTATTCTGGATCCTTTCCTTCCAAGCTGTGCCCAAACATACGCTTCCATTATCTCTACCACACTCAAATTCCATCAAGATCCTTGTAACTTGTCACCGATTTTTACCCTTTGGAGTTCAGCCCAATTCCTGCTTACTTGTTTAACAAGGGAAAACCAACAGATGAGAAGGTCCCAGGAGGTCGCATTTATTATTTCAGTTCTCAGCTTCGATTTACCCATCATGAATATTGCAGAGTTTTAAAGTTAAATGCAACATACAGCCTAGACAAAGGCAAATCCTAATGGGAGCTTACAGGGAATTCTTCAGGTCTGCTAACTCAGAATTCATAAAATATTGCTATGTATTTCATACACGTCCTCTTGTCTCTGTTTTGGTCTTTAAAATTATGTGTGGCTAGAGTTGATTGCACAACCCCATAGTAGAACATGAATTGGTCTGGAATGCGAGTATGTAAAACCGAGTCAGGAGGTGAAGTCATAGTCAATACAAAGGAATTTGCTCAGTTTTGATTTACTGTATACTTATTAGAAGCAAATTAATAGACATAGCTGAGCTATTACACAATAAGGCAAAAGTGGACCAGAGCTGCTTATGCATAGTCCCTTCATTGTGGGTAATCGTGGATATGTTTAAATTAGACCTCAAGCATCACCTGGAAGCTCCCACATGACTTGCCTTTAGTATTTTTAGACCATAAATTGCACTTGAATTTTAAATTTATAAGGGAAATATTCCTGATGGATACTATAAAGCTGAGACTTAATCTTCATTAACATATTGAAATTTTGTGACTTATTACGAAGTTAGTCATAGTACATGCTCGGCATTTACAATGAGGTCTGATGAAACAACCATTTTCTTCAAAGCTGTGTACAAAGAGATCATTTCACTGTTACTGCTATATGCTCTTAAGACTGAATGCCATTAAGAAGTTGCTCCTGCCAGGCATGGTGGTGGACATCTTAAATTCCAGCTCTGTGGAGGCAGAGGCAAGCAGATGTCTGTGAGTTCAAGGCCAGCATGGTCTACATAGTTCAAAGCCAGTCATGGTTATACAATGAGACCCTGTCTCAAAAAATAAAAAGGTCCTTGGTGCTGGAGAGATAGCTCAACAATCAAGAGTACTTACTGCTCTTCCAGAGGACCCAAGTGCAGATCTCAGCACCCATGTCAGGCAGCTCCTACAGGCCTGTGATTCCAGGTCCAGTAGATCAGCCCCCTCTGCAGGCACCGAGATGTACATGGCATACAGACACAAAAATATTTCTTAAAAATTAAAAGGGGAGTCCTGGAGAGGTAGCCAGCAATTAAGGACACTTGCTGCTCTTGCCAAGTACCACAGCTTGGTTCCCAGCACCCATATGACCGCTCATAACCGTTCCAGGGGATCCATTGTCCTCTTGTGGCCCTAGCAGGAGTTTCACACGTGGTGCACTTACATTCAGCCAAAACACCCATACACATGAAATAGAAATCTTAAGAAGTTCATTACAAGCTGGGCGGTGGTGGCGCACACCTCTAATCCCAGCACTCGGGAGGCAGAGGATGGCAGATCTCTGTGAGTCTGAAGCCAGCCTGGTCTACATTGTTCCAGAACATCCAGGGCTACACAAAGAAACTCTATCTCAGTCTCGGAAAAACAAAAGGGGAGGGGGAGGGGGAGGAGGCGTCGGCAGTGCATTACACTGACTTCACAAGTCAGGCTAAGCACCACCATCCCATTCTCTGGAGAAGAACGAATGGGTCCCTGGAGGCCGGTTTGCTCCGTCAAAGCCATTCTGGACACACCGTTGACGCAAACCATCTCATTGGGTGGGGACCAAGACCATCTGTGGTGGTAGTCTCCTACACCCTACCTGTAAATTCCGGCTGCAGCTGGCCTATTTCTTCTCCTGTACAGAACACAGCAAATCTGTCTATAGACAGAAAAGGAAAGATAAAAATATCCTGATTCCTTCTAAGAGTTGCTTGGACTCCAAAACTACCTATATTGCTATGGTGAACTCGGCCTTTAGCTCTTGAATTGGCACCCCATGCGTACATGCTGAGTGAATATTATTGAAGGGATCAATGAGTATTCCCACCAAAATCCCTCTTTTAACTTTTCGATACTCATAGTTCCACAAGCTTAAACACAAGAGCTAAAGGGGAAAAAAACAGTTTCTCAAGCAACAAAGAGATTCTGGAAGCTTGACTACTAGGACCTAAGCATCTGCAGAATTCTTTTTATGTGAAAAGGACAACTGAGACTCAGAGTTATATGATTTGGGTTTTGGCAAAGATTTGCTATGTAGAACAGAAATTATTAGTAAATGGTACTTCATAAAATTTTAAAACTTTAGCAATTTGAAAGAAACTAAGAAAAAGGGAACCCACAAATCGGCAGCAAAATGAGCATATTCTGATAAACCATACATATTCAGAGCAGTAATTTAATTTTTTTAAAGGGTAGATTTCAAATGGCCTTTTATCACAGGAGATAAGATGAACACTATCTGCAGTGATGACCCACATTTCCTTAGACAAATGTAATTTTTTATTTTTTAATTAATATATTTATTTATTTGACAAATGTAATTTAAAATGAGCTTCACTACACAGCTAGAATATGAAATTTTGACAAATCCAAATGTTGGTACTTATGTGGAACAAAAACTCTCACCATTGATGATGGAAATGTCACGTGATACAGACATTTCCAAAGAGACCAGAAGCTAGAGATACACTTAAACTCAACCCAATAATATGACAGGGATTTACTAGAAAATGTAAACAGTGTCATCAACATTGTTCATATTGTTCAAGACAGCTGTACTCACAATGATTAAAGGCTGGAAACACATGAATGTCCATCAAAGGGGGAGTGGAAGCGCGTCTTGTCATTGGTGGAACACTGCCCTGCACTATCAGGAAGGCCCTACAAGGGCTCAGCCAGTGAAGGACTCACCACAGGAGTCTGACGGCTTAAGCCCACTCCCCAGAGAGCTCATGCCTGCGCCTACACTATATGCCTATAGTAGAGATGGTTTCTGTGTGCGTAACCCAGTCAGGGGCCGGGGACATGGCTCATTTGACAAAGCGCCTGCTCAGCAAGCGTGACGACTTGATGCCTACCCCCGACACCAAGTTAGAAGTCAGGCATGTTTGTGTATAACTCCAGGGCTGGAGGCGCGAGGCAGCGACAAGAGGATCCCAGTCAGCTCACTGGCCAGCCAGTCTAGCTGAATCTGTGAGTTCCAGGTTTAATGATAAGTCCTGTCTCAAAAATAATAATAGAGTCGGGCGGTGGTGGCGCTGGCCTTTAATCCCAGCACGTGGGAGGCAGAGCCAGGCAGATCTCTGTGAGTTCAAGGCCAGCCTGGGCTACAGAGCAAGAGCCAGGACAGGCCCCAAAACTACACAGAGAAACTCTGTCTCGAAACAACAACAACAAAACAATAATAATAATAATAATAATAATAATAATAATAATAATAACAATAACAATAATATGGTGGACAGCAATAGAGAAAACATCCAGTGTCAACTTCTGGCTTCTGCACATGCACACATACATACACACACAATGTATACAACACACAGACCCATGTATATGAAATTCTAGTAAAAGTAGAACTAAAGCAACAGAAAACAGATGAGAGGTTTTCGCAGACTAGGAGACTGGAAGGAAGCTACTATAAAGGCACAGGGGAGCATTTAGGGAGCTGGAAATCTATCGTTGCTTGATTGTGGCCATGCTGACATGCATATGTAGTTGTCAAAATCCAAACTACAACAAGCTTGAAAATGTTCTTATCTGTAAATCACAGCAATAACACTGACTCTTAATAGATTTAATGATGTCATGTTCAGTGCTAACAAAAGCCAACTTGGAATGTTTGACCAGTGACTTTCCGAGCTCATGAGTCACTTTGACAAGGATGGATCCGGAGGAAGATTACAGCAGAGCCCTGACCCATTGATGCAGCTGAAGCTCTCATGGGCATGGGGAATTTTCCTGTCTGACTCACTTTCTGATAGCTTTCTCTGCCTTTACCCACTAAAAGAACTCAACCTGGGCTTATGAAAAACAAACTAACTGAAGTGAATGAGTACTTGGTTTTCGGTGGCACACTTCTTTAAACATCTATCTTTTATAGATTTTGTACAGTAAGAAATAGGACTGCCGAAAGCACTTAGATGATCATGTTGACAGGCTACTGGTCGAACCCTGCATGGGTAAAATTGCATCTGGAAGTTACAAGTGTGGGTCTCCACAGAGAGTGGTCCAGAATAGAATCCATGAGAGATAAAAATTTCTCTGTCTACCTTCTTGACTCACTAATACTGTTATGAAGTACTCACCAGTAAGGGTTTGTGGAGAGTTTTCAGAAAACTTCTAGAACATATTCAAACACACACACACACACACACACACACACACACACACACACACACACACACGAGGGCTGGCGAGATGACTCAGCTGGTAAAGAGTTTGCAACTCAAGAATGAGGGCTAGAGTTCAATCCACAGAGCCCCCTTGGAAAAGCTGGGGTGGTGTGAGTGTTTGCGGGCCAGTGCTAGGAAAGGGGGGGGGACAGCAGATCTCTGGGGACAGCAGGCCACTCAACCCCACCTCAGCTCCAGGCCAATGAGAGATATTGTCTCAAAAAGCAAGGTGCATGGCTCCTGAGGCTGAACATGAGGTTGACCTCTGCCCTACACATTCGCAACCCACACATGTATGTGTGCGCACATGTACACACACACACACACACACACACACACACACACACACACACACACACACTGAACAATATGAATTGTCACCCTTACAGGTCAGCAATTGCTGGATATTTCATAACGCTGAACTGTCTGAGTAGGGTTTCTATTGCCATGATAAAACACCATTACCAAAAGTAAGTTGGGGAGGAAAGGGTTTATATGGCTTACATGTCCACATCACTATTCGTCAACAAAAGAAGTCAGGACAGGAACTCAAACATGCAGGAACCTGGAGGCAGGAGCTGATGCAGAGACCATGGAGGGGTGCTGCTTACTGACTTGTTCCCCATGGCTTGCTCAGCCTGCTTTGTTCTAGAACCCATGGCCACCAGACCAGGGATGGCACCCCCCACAAGGAACTGGGCCATTCCCCATTGATCACTGCTTCAGAAAATGCCCTGCAGCCTTACCGAGGAGGAGGCGTTTTCTCGGTAGAGGCGCCCTCCTCTCTGATGCCTTGTGTCAAATTGACATAAAACTAGAGAGCACAGCTCACCTCATCTTCACACAGACACGTCACTGTTAGGCCGCCACCTTCCTTTTGTTCGTCCCCAAGAGCACACACTAGTCTGAACATTGCAATATAAAATATTCCAAGTCTAAAAATTCCCACAGTCTTTACAAATTTAAACACTTTAAATTCAGTCTATTTAAAATTCAAATTCTCTTTTAAAGAGACCTTAAAAACCTAACATCTTTTTTGGTTTTTCAAGTCAGGGTTTCTCTGTGTAGCTCTGTCTGTCCTGGAACTTGCTCAGTAGACCAGGCTGACCTCGAACTCACAGAGATCCGCCTGCCTCTGCATCCTGAGTGCTGGGATTAAAGGGGTTAGCCACCATACCCGGCTTCTAAAATCTTTTTTAAAGTCTAGTCTCTCAACTGTGGGCTCCTATAAAATCAAAAAATAAGTGAAATACTTTCTTACTTCAAAAGGGAAGAACCAGAACACAGTCACAATCAAATCAAAACCAAACTCCAGCTCTAAGTAACTTGGCATCCAGTGTCTGGGATGCACTCACCAGCTTCTGGACTTTTCCAAAGGGCTTGTGTCACTTCCCTGGCTCTGCCCTCTGCAGTACACACAGCTTGTCTTCTAGGCTCCAGCTGGCTCCACCTCACCCCTGCTGCTGTTCTTGGTGGTCATCCCATGGTACAGGCATCTCCAAACTGCTGGGGTCTTCTGCTGCAACTGGGCTGGACTTTCTCCAAAAGCCTCTCCAGGACTCTGAGCGGGGCTCCAACCTTGCCATGCAGTGCCAAAACTCAGCTGCTCTCCGTGATCCCTTCACATTCAAAACTAGCACCATTTGGGTGCCTCATAGACGACCAAGTCCAGCGACCAGCACAACCTTGGGTAGCCTGCCCACAATGGGCTGGGCCCTCCCTCATCTGTCATTAGTTAAGAAAGGGTCCTACAGGCTTTCCTACAGCCCAATCTTAAGGAGGCATTTTCTCAATTGAGGCTTCCTCCTCTCTGATGACTAAACCTTGTGTCAAGTTGACATAAATCTAGACAGTACATGAACCAATATATTTTCTTTTTAGTGTGTGTGTGATGTGCATGTTCGTATGTATGCAGGAGCACATTTATGGGTAGGTACGTGTGAGACAGAATCCCTCACTGGAACATACACCTCACCAATTCAGCTAGTATAGCTAGCCATCCTGCTTTGGAGAACTTATATCCACCTCCAGAGCTTAGGGTTTACTGGTGGACCACTTCTACCCACCCAACCGCCAGGTGTGTGCTGTGGATCTGAACTCCAGTCCTGATACTTGGACAACAAGCTCTTTACCCACTGAGCCACCTTCCAATACATCCTTTTATTGCTGCATGCTGCCATGGTCTATACTGTTTTAGAGTTCATTGTTCTCCAATAATATATAATGGCCATTTCCCCAGATCAACACATACAGCTCTCCTTCGCTTTTAAAATTCCTACGTGGTTTGTCACAGCATGAGAGTGCCATACCTTAGTCATTTCCTTTGTCACAAATATCAAACTTGATCTCTCCCAACAAAAGAGCTGCCTAGGTTAATACCCTTGCAGTGGCTGTTATCAAATATAAATGTCACTCTTATGACTCCAGTCTAAGGATGTGTACACCCAAACAACAGACATTTGGGGTTTTAGATTACCTACATCTCTTTCCATTTAAAATCTCAAGCACCCATACAAAAATAATTCACCGTGTAGGAAAGTCAACTAGTATATTATTACATTTAGAAGACAACCCAGGTTATAATCAGTGAATGCTAGTCACTTGGGAAATCTCTACCTAAGAGGGTTGTTAATATAATTATTACTGTTATTTACAGCTTTGACCTTTTGAAGCTGCTCATCTACTCCCATTCAAGACTCTGCCTGTACAATAAAAATACGACTTTCCCTTCGCAGTCAAGGTGCTTTGCCTCCAGCCCCATGTGACCTTCCTGCCTTGCGTTACAAGTACCCCACACTGTCACACTTGGCTGTGTCTGCTTCCTTTAACCCAGGACGTTCTCTCTTCCTTCTCAGCTCTTGTGTGGGAAGTCTGCCCAGGCTCACAGCCTACCTGAGAACTTTCCATCCTTCCTTGGCCCCCCATGACAGTGTAAGGCTGTAAGGGAAGCTTCATTTTCATCTTTGACACACTTGGGCCCAATCGCTGAGCAGCTCTGCTTTGTCACCGTGAGACACAGAAATAATGACTTGCCTCCCCCTACCCTCCATTTTTCCCAACTGAAAAATGAAATGCAATCTCTTGGCTATGCCTTAAGTATTTGGGACAGCATGTAATTCTAGCTAGAAGGAAAGTGTGTTTCTTAGCAGATCACATGTGTGGGCGATGTATAAGGCATCACTTCGGTCTTCCCACAGAGCTGCTGGGAGTTTTGTTCTGAAAAGACTTGGAATGATCTAGATTTTATGAAGTCCTTTCTCACCAGACTCCAAAAGCTTTTTTTATTATTCCCACTGGGTCCTGGATAGTTTTCCTGTTTATCTGTCCACTTCTGAGATACCTGCTCTAGGTCTGGATCATTTGTCAGCTAAAAAGAGCTAAAGAAAACACAAATATTCCTGCTGAATTATATAACATTATATATTTATATATATGTATATGTATATGTATGTATGTATCATTGTAGAATATTATTTTAAGGTGTGTTACTTTTGTTTAACTCTGTGAAGCTGTGTTACTGTGCCCATGTAAAACACCCGAGGGTCTAATAAAGAACTGAACGGCCCCTAGCAAGGCAGGGGAGAGAGATAGGTGGGGCTGGCAGGCAGAGAGAATATGTAGAAGGAGAAATCTGGGATGAAGAGAAGAAAAGAGATGGAGGGGTGAAAAAAAAGAAGCAGCCAGAGAAGGAGGAGGACCCAGGGGCCAGCCACTCAGCTACACAGCAAGCCATGGAGTAAGAGTAAGGTTTACAGAAGAAGAGAACAGGAAAAGCCCACAGGCAAAAGGTAGACAAGACAGGTTAAAGAAAGCTGGCAAGAAACAATCCAAGCTAAGGCCCGGCGTTCATAATTAAGAATAAGCCTCTGGGGTGATTTATTTGGGAGCTGAGTGGCGCCCCCCCCAAAAAAAAAGAGCAAAAGAAATAACACCAGACTTGCATTTACTTTGTTGCTCAAGATAGCCTTGAACTTATGATTTCTACCAACCCAACCCCTAGACTCCCAAATGCTAGGATTGTATACATAAGCCCCACCCCTCCCGGTTGGGGGACGGAGCTAAAAGATTTTCTTCAGTGTAATGAAAACCCTATAATGATATTTCCCAAAAGTCCAGAAAGGATTCTGATCGATTTTAAACTCCTTCCTAATGCTCTCGTGTCGGCATGAACCTATGAGCACTATGTCCAAGCCTGTGATAATCAATGTGCACGGTGTATTCTTTTCTGGAGTCCAGGTCACTTCTTCTGAAGTTTTGGGACAGTCCAGATAATGCCATAGCAGCCAAGCAGTAAGATCTAACCCGTGTGTGTTTTTCTCACCCTAGAAACTTACAGACTCCTTAATGATAGGGATTGTGTCTTAACTATCTTAGTCGTGACCCAGCCTCACTATTTGAAGTTTTATGGCTTATTTTTGTTGTTGTTGTTGTTGTTGTTGTTGTTAGATTTATTTTATGTGTATGAGTAGTTTGGCTGCCTGCATGTATGTATGTGCCTGATGCCCAAGGAGGTCAGAAGGGGGCACCAGAAACCCAGGAATTGGAGTTACAGATAGTTGAGAACCACCTTGTGGATACTTGACTTCCTCTGCAAGAGCAGCAAGTGTTCTTAATGAAAATTATGCAAGGTAGATGATTTAAAAAACAAACAAACAAACAAAAAACAAATGAATGCGTGTGATGAACGAATGAACTTTAGCAGTACGAGTAACCTAAGTCTCTAACAGCACTTTCTCCCCCACCAGGTGAACGACTCTGTAGGACCAGTTTGTGCTGGTCCTCACTTTATTTCCAACGGGCCAGGTAAGAGTTTCCCCTAGAATGAGTATTTCGGCGCATAAAGAACGGAAGAAAGCCAAGGCCCAATGGAGTGAGCTGCCTTGGCGAGACGGGGTACAGAGCGTGCCCTCCTGCCGGGGAGTGGGTGGTCACAGGAACCCTGCAGCGGCAGCTCCTGGGAACCGCCGGCGGGCGCTTGCGCCGGCCTGTCCTCCGCAGCGCCAGGGGGCGCTGTGCCGTACGCGGGCTCGGGATTGGCGGGGCGCCGCTCTCTGGGCGGGGCGCAGAGGCGGTGGGAGGACTTGCGGCGGGCCGCTTCGGCTTCTTCTCCGGCCTGCTCCGTCCGCGGCTTCCCGCGCGTCCCGCCGGCCACCATGGGGAAGCGAGACAATCGCGTGGTGAGTACTCGGTGGGGAACACCGACGGGACGGCGCGGGGACGGGAGGCCGGGAGCCA